GAAGAGAGAAGAAAGTCAACTAGGATTGTGTATCATAACCCTAGCCACCAGCCTCTCATTCTATTTATAATTAACTTAAATATGAGATATTACAAAGATGCCCTTAGTAGGGCGGCAACTCAAACTAAATAGTTACAACTCTTTAAAAAATAAAAACTAATGGGCCTAAGGCCCAACAACTTCTTAATTTAAAAGAAAATAAACTAAACACAAATCGGCCCACTCAACAAAGCTTAAGATTCTTTAAGTTTCATTATATAAAAGAAGGGAAGACCTAAAACTATACATTGAGACAACATTGAACAATCCTATACAAATCTCATCTGCTGCAACAGAGACAAAATCAGTTGGAGAAGCCCGAGCTCAGTCAAGACAGTTGTCAAAATGAGAAACCAGACAAACAGCTCAAAACGTTTTAGAGACATCAACTCAAGAAAACACAGCCTTCAATTCTGTTAATCACCTCATCCAGCCGGCTAGTGTAAATAAACTTAAATATTTTGATGACAAAATTCTTAAGAATGTAATAAAACTAAACTAAGGCAAAAGAAATTCTTTTGCACAAACCGTAAATTTGAGTTAAATAGTCTATTGCCTCCCCCAAGAAATGAAATTCAAATCATAAGATTTCTAAGAAGCTAAGAAGCTGGATTTGGGGAAAACAGGATTTTATATTAAAAATAAAAATATTGCAATATTAGTTTTCAATTTTTTGTCTTTAGTTAAGTAAACAAAAATGCATACATATATCTCATTTTACAAGAAATGGCAAACTGCTAATTTTATATCGAAAGGAGAATATGTTGCTCAGTTGAGCAAGACAAAATGCTTATGCTACCTTCCCCACTTTAGATAATATGCTGTGTGAGTATCAATTTAGAGTTACTGGTCGGAAGAAAATAGGCTAATAAATGATTCAATCTGGATGGATCTAAACTTCTAACACCAGAATCCATACAGTTAAATGAAATATTATTTCAAGGCAACTCAACAATGAAATGACCCATATTTATGCATGGCATACCTTTGATGTTAGGCATTGGTGTCAACAACCTTCATGGTACTAAGAACCCAATGTTTTAGTAACAAGAGAAAGACCTTTTTTTGAACAAAAACTTACTGTTTTAATAAATGCAGCTGTGCTTTTCCCGGGCCTGATGAGTGGGATAGATGCACCTTGCCGCTTCAATTGTTCGCTTACATCATCAGGATCCAATTGCAAGAAAGTGTAGTAATAATTGAAGAAGGCTATTAGTAGTATATTGGTAGGAAGATAGAGAGCACCTATAAGAATTCAATAGTTAGATTAGGATTTTGACTACTACAAAAGTTATAGCAAAAAATAAAAGAAAAAAGACCAATCAATGTTACTTCACCATATTGTGTGTATGGAAGAGTGACATAACTATAGAGTCTAGTACTGAAACTAGATAATATTCATAAAAATTCTGTTTTCGTAGTCAAAGGTTCAATCAAGTCAATTTAGTCCAACACTCCAATCATGGCAATAATATATTAGGGGTGCAAGTCGGTACCCAATTTGAAGAATTTACACAGCATCAGGCTCAGAACCTTGGGTTGGGTCAATTCAAAATTTAACAAAGCCTCAACCCAAAGCCCACCCAAGTTGCATTCCTATGTGGCATAACCTTTATCCAAGTTATCCATTCCTTTAGTACCAATAAATACTGACCAAACCTAAGGTAAATAAACTCAAGTCGCTGGGATAGAAAAGTTGACTTATAATAGGTAACTTATAATAGAAAAGTTACCTTATAATAGAAAAGCCATAAAGAATCTTGTATTGTCCAAATTTGAAATCTCAGTCATAATATCATAAGCTAAAGTTGTTAATAGTGTTAACATACCCTAGTAACTTCTGAATAGTTATTATGAATTTACCTCCTGGATTTAAAGAAACTGCAGCGTTTTTCAAAGCAGCTAGACCAGTAAAACGTGCTAGAGTACCAGGAAGAGCTAATGATGAGGTTGAAAATATTATTGGCATCACTCCAGAACTATTAACCTGCATAAGCAGAGCTGTTAGATTAACAATGGAAATGCGCAACTCATATAGAAAAAAGATGAAATATTTATCTAATTTGTTCCTTTGAACATTGAAAAGGAACAATTTTTAGTAGCCAATTTACATAGAAAAGATCAAACAAATTCTTAATTGCAATCTGAAGATATTGAGAAAAAGTTATGAAATATTTATCTAATTTGTCCCTTTGCACATTGAAAAGGAACAATTTTAGTATCCAATTTACATAAAACGATCATACAAATTCTTAATTGCAATTCTGAAGATGTTCAGAAAAATTTATAAAAAGCGCATTGTATTCTGTTAGTGTTAGGTCTGCCTGTTAGACTGATAACAGTCAAGGAAGAGAGAGAGAAGAGAGGAGAGAAAGAGAGAAAGGAGAAGAGCAGAAGAGAAACAAGGAGAAAAGATTCTGGTTCGAATGAGAGAAAAAAGTTCACTCTCCCATTCGGCCAGATGTATTTTATATTACTAAAATAATGTG